GAAGAGGCAGAAAAATAGAGAGATCGTGCTGAAAGTTGGATTCAATTGGCAAATATAACCATTCCAAAATTCTGGGAGGTCTACACACAAGTAAAGCACATGAGCCATCCTTTTAATACTTCAGTAGAAATAGAAGATTTCATTATGCTATGTGATAATGTCATGGGGGAAATAAGGGCATTAGCGCAATCATGGTGATGCAAGGGAATTATATGTAAATGTTTTTGTAAAACGTTTAGGCTGTTTGTATTTTGCACTAGGAGGTTCTCTTTTGTAATAGACATCATTTATAAAGAAACTAGAATTTTTATGAATTGATTGCTAACCTTTTATTCTTATGAATACAATATGTATCTTAAGGGAATAAGGGAATTACGATAATTCTTCAAATAAGTGGTGATTCGCATTCAAGTGACCTGGTATTTTGTGTGCTAACTCTACATGACAATCTACTAATTTTCATTTTTTTAAAAACGATCTATAATTTATTTATTTATTTATTTATTTTTTAATACGGAAGATAATATTTCTCCGGTAAAGAATTCGTTTAACCAAACTCATCACCCTACCCGAGTTTATTTGACTCGTGCTCGAGTTAAGGCTTTGGTAATGGAGGTTCGTGACCTTGAGCATGAGGAAAGAATGGAAGAAGAAATATCATCTTTGAAAAATCAAGTAACCCTTATACAAGCTCAAATGGGTGAAATGATGAAGTTGTTACAAAATATGAATGCAAGTGGGACAGTTAACACTAGTAACACTCAACCCTCTAATGGAAACCAAGGAAATGAGTCTTTATAGCCACAAGGGGGGTTGTTAATAGTACAGAAATCGGTGGAAGGATTGATCCTGTAGTGAAATCCCCTGAACAACCTACCCAAGAGTGGAATAAGGGAGAAGTATATACATATAACATCCTGGTCATAGATCCAACTGAAGGTTTTAATAACGCATCACTAAAAGGCATGGAAGACAATTCCAAAGATAGCTAAAAGGAAGAGATGTTAGAAATGAAGGATCAACTTCGAGTATTACAAGGTCCAGTCACCTGGGGATCCCTTAAGATTAACGAACTTTACTTACCACCGGAAGTACTTGTTCTAAAGAAATTTAAAGTACCAGAGTTTACCAAGTATGATGGTAGTGGTGCCTGAATATCATTTGGTTACTTATTGCATAAAGATGTCAGTTTGGTTAAGGGAAGAAAAGTTCCTTATCAATTTCTTCCAGGAAAGTCTCACAGGGAGTGCGCTAAGGTGGTTTATGAAATCTGATCGCTCTAAATATAAGAAATGGGGTGATTCGGTTAGTGCATTTATGAAACAATACAAGTTTAACCTAAGCATAGCCCCAACAAGGGAATAGTTAGAAGGGATGAAGAAGAAGGCTAATGAGACTTTTAAGGAATATGCCCAAAGATGGAGATCAGTTGCTTCTAAAGTACAACCTCCTTTAATTGAGTTTGAATTATGAACTTATTTTATTAATGCTCTAGCTGATCCTTATCATAAGATTATGTTAGGAATGCAGGCTCGAGATTTTTCTGATCTTATTAAAGTGGGTGAATGAATTAATACAAGCATACGGAGAGGAAGATTAGAAAATACACCCTCAAAAGCCAAGAAAGCATAAGTGGGGAAGAAAAAGGAAGGAGATGTCAATTATGTGCAAGGACTTTACCAACAATCCTTTAATTGTGTCCATGACCCTTCGTATTCTCAACCAAACAACTTTGCACGGTTTGATTCGGCATGGCCAAGGGTAGAATTTTATCATGCCCCTCCAAGTGCTCAATTTAATTATCAAATGGGTAATCAACACCATAGTGGATTAAGACCAGTAAGGCCACCTCGAGACGAGTGCCTATTACTAAACTTTAATATTACATAGACAGAGTTGTATAAAGATTTGGTTGCAAAGAATCTTATGGGGCCTCAACCTGTTAAACCTCTCCAACCACCTTTCCCAACTTGGTATGATCTAAACGCAACATGTGAATACCACATAGGGGTTGTTGGCCACTCTATTGACAAATGTGATGCTTTTAGAAGACATGTACTTCTTCTATTAGATAAAAATCATATTGGGATTAAGACAGGTAACAATCCTAATATTACCACCAATCCCCTACCTGAGCATGAAAAAGAAAAGCTAGTTGCCATGATAGATGATGACATTAGCCTCTCAAAAGCAATAGAAGACATTCCTTGCACCATAAAGTAGCTGTATGAGCACTTAAGAGAATTGGGCCACATTCAGTAAAGCTTTGGAAGCAATGAAAGAACTACTTAAATTACACTTGATTTTTATGAATATCACCAAGATGCTGTAGGTCATGACATTGAAAAATGTATTCCCTTCAAAGAGCTGGTTCAAAAAATGATAATATTAGGGATTATAGTCATTGGCAGAAAAAATATGAGAAATATATGTGCAGTAGATGGGAAGGTTACCTATTTTGTAATCAATAAGGAGTCACAAGCTACAAAAGGAGAAAATTCATCCCTTAGGACAAATAAGCCAATTTATGAAGTGAAGGAATCAGCAAAAAAATCCCTTTTGCTTGTCAGCAAAACATCTCATAATGTCGATGACAAGAAGCCTATCGCTCTCCTCCACGTACCAGCACTATTCCCATATCATAGAAATCATGCTGTACCTTGGAATTATGGCTTAAGAATTGAAGGTCCTTTCGATTAAGGGACACTAAACAAAGTTAGTAATGTTGATAATACTGTTGGTGGAATTATACGAAGTGGCCGAATTTATGCCAACGAAACCTATATGTCAAGGAGTAATGGTTTAGAAGTTGGAGAAAACTCAGGCACTAAAGAATTCACTATGAAAGGCAAAGAAGAAAGGGCTGATGAATTTTTAAAGATCATGAAGCAAAGTGAATATAACATTGTGGAACAATTAAATAAGACACCAGCGTGAATTTCTATATTGTCCCTCATTTTGAATTCTGAAGTACATCGAAAGGCTTTACAAAAGGTTCTAAGTGAAGCTTATGTGTGCCCAAACATAACTCCAAAGAAAGTGGTTAATCTAGTTAATGTTGTGAAAAACTCTACATTGTTTGCATTCTCTGAAGATGAGATCTTCCTAATAGCTTCTCAATGCCCAAAAGCGCTCCACATTACTTTGAAGTGCCATGGTTATGTAATAGCCAAGGTTTTAATTGATGTAGGTTTTGCCTTAAATGTCTTACCTCGATCTACCATGGAACTTTTACCTGTTGATGCATCTTGTATGAAACATAGTGACGTGATAGTTAGGGCATTTGATAGGACAAGACGAGAAGTCATAGGCAATGTCTACCTTCCATTACAAATTGGACCAAGCACTTTCGTGGTAGAATTTCAAGTTATGGACATCGATGCTACATATACCATGTTACTTGGTAGACCCTGGATTCATGATGCTAGAGCTGTACCCTCGACTCTACACCAAAGACTCAAGTACATTGATGATGGAAGACTTATTACCATAAGAGGAGAAGAAGCACTGATAATTAGTAAGCCAAGTGCGGTACCTTATATTGAGAATATTAATTAATCTTTTGAATGTGTAAATCAAACCCTTGAGTTTGTGGAGGTTGACCAATCAAGTAAGGAGGTGAATCAAGTCATGGCTAAGATAATGAAGAACCATGGATTTAAGTCGGGAAAAGGATTGGGAACAAAGTTGCAAGGGATGAAAGAGCCAACAATACTCCCAAAAAACCCAAAACGTCAAGGACTGGGGTATAAGCCTTCTTTAAAAGCATCAATGACAAGGCAAATGAAGTTGAAGAAAGAAAAAAATCCAAGATAAGCTGGAAATCCCACATATTCGTGAAACATTTGCATCACCTACAGAGATAATCAATCCAAATGGTTTTGTAGCTATGATGAGTGAAGAAGACAAAGAGAGCTTAAAAGAAGTATGGATACATCCAGACACACTAGGAAAAGTGTTCGGCAATTGGGAATCTAAGGAGATTGCTGATGTCATGTCATTAAAGTAATATTTCAATGTGTTGTTTCACTTTTTAAGTTAATTTGTGTACTCTCGAATTTTATTTAAGGAATGAATGTAATATTTTGTTTTCTTCTTTATTTTCTCCTTTTGCCCTTTCTTATTTTCCTCCTCATCATATTTTCTTTCTTTCTTTTTTTTTTTTCATTCTCCGCTCTTATTCTCTCCATCCATAATGTTTTTCTCATATTCCTATTCACACCTTATACATATAAATATTCATTCACCTTGCATGATAATCTTCCAGGGAATTAGAATTCTCGAAACTCTTGTCTAACCCATTGGTTCCTGAGCATAGTTTGAATGAACCATGTTTCACTACGGATACATATGACTATGAAACTGATGAAGATGAAGCAACGCCCCTAATATTTGCAAAAATGATAGAATCTTCTGAACGAGGCATCATGCCACATGAGGAGTCAATTGAAATTGTAAATTTAGGGATAGAGGAAGATAAAAAGGAGTTAAAGATTGTTGATAATCCAAAGAAAGAAGAGATGATTAGTTTGTTTCGAGAGTATCTTGATGTGTTTGCGTGGTCATACTTGGATATGCCAGGGATTGATTTGGAAATTGCTACTCATAGGTTACCTTTACATCTTGATAGTAAACCTAAGAAGCAAAAATTGTGAAGAATAAGCCTCAATATGTCACTTAAAATTAGAGAAGAAGTAAAGAAACAATGGGAAGCCGGATTCTTAAAAGTCGTCAAATATCCACAATAGGTTGACATCATTCCAGTGCCAAAAAAGGATGGACGAGTTAGAATGTGTGTGGATTATAGGGACTTGAATCGTGCTAACCCTAAGGATGACTTTCCCTTACCACATATTGATGTGCTTGTAGATAATACAACATGTAGTTATAGATATTCCTTTATGGATGGTTATTCAGGATACAACTAGATTCTTATGCATGTGGAGGATAAACATAAAACTACTTTCATTACACCTTGGGGTACCTTTTGTTATGAGGTGATGTCCTTTGGATTAAAGAATGCAGGTGTAACTTATCAACGAGCTAGGGTAGCACTGTTTCATGATATGATACATAAGGAGATTGAGGTGTATGTGGATGACATGGTAGCTAAGTCTACTGAAGATGAAAGCCATGTAGTAGTTCTTCAAAAATTGTTCAAACATTTGCGTAAATACAAGCTAAGGTTAAACCCTAATATATGCATATTTGGAGCCTCATCTGGAAAATTGTTAGGTTTCATCGTCAGTAAGAAAGGTATAGAGGTAGATCTTGACAAGGTTAAAGCAATTCGTGACATGAGGCCGCCACAAATAGAGAAAGAGGTTCACGGTTTCTGAGGGCACTTGAATTATATATCTAGATTCATAGCCAATCTAACTGCTACTTGTGAGCCACTCTTTAAATTATTGTGGAAAAGTCATACTGACAAGGGGGATGAACATTGTCAGTAAGCTTTTGATAAGATTAAGGACTACTTATTGAACCCTCCATTATTAGTACCTCCAACACCTGGTCAGCCTTTAATCCTTTATTTAACTATAAGACCTACATCTATGGGTGCAATGCTGGGGTAGCTTGATGAAGCTAGCAAAAAGGAAAAAGTAGTTTATTATTTCAGCAAAAAGTTCACTGATTGTAAATCATGCTATTCACTAATTGAAAAGACATGTTGTGGTTTAATATGGGTTACTCAACGGCTAAGGCAATACATGTTGTATTATACCACATGGTTGATTTCACAAATGGATCCAATAAAATATATTTTTGAGAGTCCTTATGTGTCAGGTCGAGTTTCTAAGTGGCAAGTAATACTCTCGAAATATGATGTGAAATACATAACTCGTAAGCCAATTAAAGGAAGTATCATTGCAGATTATTTGGAAGCAAATCCTATGGAGGAGTACCAACTTGTAAATTTTCAATTCCCAGGAGAGGATGTTCTTGTTGCAGAGGAAGAAGAACAAGGGGAGGAGAAATGGAAGATGTATTTTGATAGGGCAGTGAATATTTATGGAAATGGATTAAGAGTAGTACTGGTATCTGTAGAAGGTAGACAATTCCTACTAGCCATCAAATTAGGCTTTGATTGTACCAATAATATGGTTGAGTATGAAGCATGTTTAAATGGCTTACAAGCTGCTGTGACATTAGGCATTAAAGGAACTTGATGTTTTTAGAGATTCTGCCCTTGTTATTTATCAAGCAACTGGTGAGTAGTAAATTAAAGATTCCAAGATAATCCCATATCAAAAATAGCTCACCCAATTGATTAATAAATTAGACAAGGTGAGATTCCATCACTTACCTCGTGATAAGAATCAATTCGCTAATGCTTTAGTGACACTAGCTGTCATGGTTAAGTTGGATTGTGGAATTCATGTTCAACCAATCAGGATTGAGGCTAAAATTAATCCTGCATATTGCTTGAATGTTGAAAATGAAATGAAAGCACAACTATGGTTCCTTGATATAAAAGGTTACATAAAAAGTGGAGAATACCCTTTGGAAGCAATGGAAAATGACAAGAAGACTATTCGACATATGGCAATGAATTTCTTCCTTAGTGGGGATGTACTATACAAAAGAACTTTTGATGATACACTGCTTCGATGTGTTGACTCAGGGGACGCACGGAAAATTTTAGAGGAAATTTACGAAGGAATATGTGGAACTCATGCTTATGGCCATACTATGGCCAAACAAGTTCAAAGACATGGTTATTTTTGGCTAATTATAGAAACAGATTGTATTAATATGTTAAAAAGTGCCATAAATGGCAAATTTATGCTGATCGAATACATGCCCCACCTCAACCGCTTCACAACCTTGTGGCCCCTGGCCTTTCTCTTTATGGGGACTTGATGTTATTAGTCCAATCAATCCTAAGGCCTTAAATGGGCACCGTTTCATCCTTGTAGCTATTGATTATTTCACAAAGTGGATAGAGGCTGCTTCTTTTGCTAGCATTACCCAGAATGCCTTTCTTAGGTTTCTAAAAACGAACATTATCTGTAGATATGGTCTACCAGAATGGATTATTACAGATAATGCGCCTAATTTGAATGGGATTGAAGTTCAGATGTGAACAATTCAAAATTAAACACCGTAACTTGACACCTTATCGACCTCAAATGAATGGGGCGGTTGAAGCAGTTAATAAAAATATTAAGAAGATCATTGGAAAGATGACAATCACATATAAGGATTGGCATGAGATGCTTCCATATGCTCTTTATGGGTATCGCATGACTATACATGTGTCAACTGGGGCAACACCTTACTCATTAGTATATGGCATGGAGGTTATGACTCCAATTGAAGTAGAGATGCCCTTATTAAGTGTGGTCATAGAATCTGTGTTAGAAGAAGATGAATGGATTAAAACTCAATTTGAACAATTGAATATGATAGAAGAAAAGCGATTAGCAGCCATATGTCATGGGCAATTATACCAAAAGAGGATGGTAAAGACTTTTAATAATAAGCTGTGTCCAAGAGAATTTAAGCCAGGGGACCTAGTCTTGAAAAAAAATCCTCCCGAATCAAGAGGATTGCTGAGGTAAATGGGCACCTTCATACGAAGGCCCTTATATTGTGAAGCAAGCCTTTTCAGGAGGCGCCCTTATTTTGGTAGATATGGAGGGCCAAGCATTGTCAAAACCTATAAACTCAGATATTGTGAAGAAATATTTTGCTTAAAGCTAAAGTACCTGCTAGGCTGAAAACCAGAAAAGGCAACCTAAGCAAAAGCTAAGGAAAAAAAAAAAAGATTAAACAAAGATGTCTGCTAGGTTGAAAACCTGAAAAGGGCACCTAGGAAAAAGTTAAGGCAATATATATATATATATATATAAAAGAAAAGAGATCACACAAAGATACTTGCTAGGTTGAAAGTCTAAAAAAAAAAGGACCTAGGCAAAAGATAAGGTAAAAGAAAGGAGGATTTGAGCAAAAATTATGGCAAACTGAAATATTATATCAAGGGGTTAGAAAGACTGGTGTCTTACTAGAATGAGGTGGACAAATGCTTCATATAATCAATTCTTACCACATATATTCATAGTGACATATAAGTTCGTTGCAAATGTTGTAAAGGATCCAATGAGGAGACTTCTTTCGTCCCGATCTTTTTTTATTCTTTTGAGATTCCTCCTATTAAATTTCTCTCTTTCTTGTGACTCCAAGTGGTTTATTTAGTCGATAAACTAACTCTTCATGATGTATAATCTCTTATTTACATAATCCTTATTGTATTCTTTCTTGTTCATAAAATCAGCCTTATTAGAGACATAACACTTTATATTATACTTTTTACATGAGATATAAGACTCTCTCCCTTCTTCCCACAAGTTTTAATAATAAAGGTTTTATTCTTAGGGTTTTGGATGAAATCAGAGGCACGTACTTTATCCGAGTTGTACTAGATTCATTTATCCACCTATCCTATATATTGCCACTAAATCTTGAGAATGGGTTAGTTAAACGAAACGATTACATAAAGTAATGATATCTTCTACCTAGCATGAGGGCATATGTTAGTATTGTTTTTATTATTATTATTATTATTATTATTATTATTATTATTTACAAGAAATTTAATAAAAACAAATGAAAAAAATGAACGAAAGAAGGAAGCAGGAGAAAGAGGATACATAATAAAATTATCATTACAAATAGTATATCACATTTATAACTTAAAGCCCTGTAAAGACAAGCACCCATCAAAAGCCCTACTTGGGTAGGCACTTTATTACTGTTTGAAGCCCTGTAAAGACAGGAACCCACTAAAAGCCTTACTTGGGTAGGCACTTCTTTACTGTTCAAAGCTCTGTAAAGACAGGTACTTACCAAAAGCCTTGCTTGGGTAGGCACTTTATTACTGTTTGAAACCTTGTAAAGATAGACACCCACCAAAAGCCCTACTTGGGTAGGCACTTCTTTACCGTTCAAAGCCCTGTAAAGACAGGCACTCACCAAAAGCCCTACTTGAGTAGGCACTTCCTTACTACGCAAAGTCCTGTAAAAACAGGCACTCACCAAAGGCCCTACTTGGGTAGGCACTTCCTTATCGTTCAAAGACCTGTAAAGACAGGCACTTACTAAAGGCCCTACTTGGGTAGGCACTTTATTATCATTTGAAGCCCTGTAAAGATAGGCACCCACCAAAAGCCCTACTTAGGTAGGCATTTCTTTACCATTCAAAGCCTTATAAAGACAGGCACCCATCAAAAGTCCTACTTGGGTAGGCACTTTATTACCGTTTAAAGCCCTGTAAAGACAAGCACTCACTAAAAGCCCTACTTGGGTAGGCACTTCCTTATTACACAAAGCCCTGTAAAGACAGGCACTCACCAAAAGCCCTACTTGGGTAGGCACTTCCTTACTACGCAAAGTCTTGTAAAGACAGGTACTCACCAAAGCCTTACTTGGGTAGGTACTTTATTACCGTTTGAAGCCCTGTAAAGACAGGCACCCACCAAAAGCCCTACTTAAGTAGGCACTTCTTTACCGTTCAAAGCCCTGTAAAGACAGGCACCCAACCAAAAGCCCTACTTGGGTAGGTACTTCTTTACTGTTCAAAGCCCTCTAAAGATAGGCACTTACCGAAAGCCCTACATGGGTAGGCACTTCCTTATCGCTCAAAGCCCTATAGGGAGAGGTTTTCTTGAGTAGATGAAAAAACATATGTTTCTTTCTTCATTCATAAGAATGTCATCTCGTGAAATCCTCACTTAGAAAAGCAAATGGAGATAGGCATCTAGCCAACATATATTTTGTTTGGATCATGGTCATTTGTTTACAACATCCTTCTTTTTATCTTATTTTATTTAGTTACTTTCATTCACATCACATTGCTAAAAAAAAAGAAATCAAAAATCATGTCATTGTGTTTGTTATGCAATAGTCTTGCATTTAATCATATCTTGCCGTGTTAGGGGCAATTAGGTCTTTTAATAGGTATTTTATGGCCGACCAAAATACATGTTCTATCTTTACTTGTCACTTATGCAAGAATTCAAAAACACACTTTCTTATATACTTACATAAGAAACAAGTAAAGAGCGGCAACTGTGAACACTGTATTTTGTCCGGGCATTTTTTTAATTTAATAAAAATAATAATAAATAACCAAAAAACATATAAAAATACAAAAAAAGAAAATTTAATCTTTTTTGGATTATATTTTTTTAAAAAATATAAAATACAAAAATAAAATTTAATCCTTCTAGGGATTATGTATTTTTTTAAAAAAATTAAAAGTAATAATTTTGCTTAAATCTTTAAAAATCTCTCTCAAATTATTTCAACAATAAGAAAATTATGAGAATCAACTTCTTAAAAATTAAGTATTTTTAAATTCTTATAGATCTGATTACATATATAATAATAATAATAATAATAATAAACATAATTAAAAACTAAAAGAAAAGAGAGTTAGGTTTTTTTTAAGAAAAAATATAAATAATATGGGAATCAAGGGTTAAACGCTGGAAAATCCAGCGTTTAACCAATACCTCTGTCCATTTGTCCAGGTGCAGTAGCGGAAAGCAGATAAAGAAAAAAAAACAGAGACTAAGCATGCATAGGTTCCTCATATAGACGCACCAGAAAGAAAACAAAAAGTGACTGAAACATGCACATGAAACACACAGCAGAGACGCAGCAGAAAGGAGATAAAGAAAAGAAAAAAAATAGAAATCAAACCATGCCCAGGTTCTTCATCCAGATGTAGCACCAGAAAGAAATAAAAAACAAAGACTGAAACATGCACACGAAACACACAGCAGAGACGCAGCGGAAAGCAGATAAGGACTAAAGTTTTAAATGCCAGAAAATCTAGTGTTTAACTCTCATATTTGATGATAACTCCTCATATTTGAAATAAGGAAATTTAGAAGTTGTGAACATTTAAGTATGGATAGGGAATATTCATGAAAATATTTGAAGAGAAAGTAGCTTTGTAACATTGTGTTTTCTTTCTCTAAATAATGTTGCATACCTTAAATATGCTCTAACATGTGTTTATTTGCTTTTACAAATGAGGCTGATTTAGTTATAATACTTGCGCATGATGCTTTTGATTCTAATATTTTGAAAAAAAAATTTTATTGTTGAGCTAAGTGATAAGTTAGATTCAAGTTTGTCTTCTAGCATGAAAGAGTATTAATCAACTTAAATTTAATTTCTATTTCTTTATTTCTCAAAGTCATACATTATTTTGTTTTTAATTTCCATTTGATATTAATTGATTAATTCTTGAAGATAATTTTGATTTTAAATGACATCATTTTCATATGGAGATTTTAAATATGTGGTTAAATGAAGGAGTTTGTTCTTATTATTTCACAAATATAATCAATTAAAACATTTGAATGGTATCGTGAGAGATTTAAAAAAATCTCCATAGATATTCAGCTTAATTGCCTCATTGTGAAGGATAATAAGTCCTTGCAGATGTTGTGGTTATTAATAAATATTGTAAATAATAATATAATAATACTTATATATATATAGTCCGCATGAGTCCATTGAATAATTTTTAACATATAAAAAAAGACATATTATAATAAAAATATTGTGTAGATAATCTAAGATTTAATATCAAAAAGAAAATATAAAATTAAGGTCATTTGAATGTCCACGAGTGACAATAAGTCTCCGTAGGCATATTAGAAATTTCTTTCTTTAAAATTACTTTTTTATGTTAGCAAGGTGAATTTTTAAAATAAGAGAAAGTAAAGTAATGAAAACATTTTCAAAATATAAAATGGGAGTAAGAAAGTGAAACCAAATTATCTTTACAAATTAAAACACAGCATATCTTAGAAAATTATTTTGTTTGCAACTGATAAGTTATTTTC